CAGTTACAGATTTCAAAATCAGTTGCCAACACCAACCTTATTTTTAATAGACATAACACACACATTTACACATGTAATAATACACATTAGAGCACATTTATTTAATCATTAATTAGTGGAAGTTGGGTAATGCTGGAGAACATTAATTTTATTCACATAATAATTATGCTTCTTTATAAGTTCATTTTTAAACACCCTGGGAAACATAAGATATATTCATATAACATGCATTTATTTATTGTAATTTTATATAAATATACAAATCAAAAGATCAATAAAATATAGGAACAGAAAAAAGAAAGTGAATATAGAAAGAATGAAGTAGGAAGTTATTATTCTCCAGGAATAATCAAATGTAATTATTGATTGTTAGGAGTAGTTTGACTTCTAAGATTGTATTTGCGAATTTTAATGTTAAAACTTAAAATAAATACTTTTGGCAGGTGAGTGCAGTAATAATGATAATGGAAAGATTTAGTATTCCCATAGAAGGCTCCCCTAGGGTTTTTTTTTACCCTTTAATATTTAATATATATAAACTAATTAAATCATTTTGTGTTTTTCTTTTAGTTGAACCAAAATAAATAAACATTACTTATCTTTTTAATCCTTTCCTCGAATATGAATTCATTTGTCTCAATAAATTGGATATGTGTATTACAATACTTGTGATGATCATGCAATACATTTGATATCATCATTGACATAACAAACAATTGCATCACCTGAGTAGTAATAATACCAAGGCCATGCAAAAATGAAACTGTGTCTACCCAGATCTCTGGGGCTCACAATAATCAATTATGGTTCCTTATGAATAATAAATCTGATGTTGATCACAGGTCAGATTTAATTGAAATTTCCTATCACAAACAAGCAAACTCCGTGCAAAGCATCAATTCAACACCATGTAATTTTTTTTTCCACGGTTGAAAGAGGTTTAAACAAGTTGGAAGGCTTTGGACAAAACTTTTCCCTTATCACATCCCTCAGACCAAGTTTGGCTGTTATCATATGGGCATTGATCACTGATAGCTGGTGCTTGTGTGATGATTGCTGTATGTTATACACCTCCAGTACAAAGTTGGCACCTACAACTAGTTGAAAATTCAGCAACTCAGGAGGCTGCAACCTGTGGTGCTGTTCTGGATTTTCCCAGAATTCAGAGTTTTGAGTCCTGGGTTGCTGTAATTTTTATGAAAAGAAAAGTATTAATTATTTAAATGTTTATTTTGTTGAAAAAAATATACATTTATAATGTACATTTTCTGTGCTTAACATCCATGTGACCCAAAGTCTGGACAAAAGATCCCTTTCCATGAGTTTGGCTGGTATATCCCTGTCTTGTCAGTGGCATGCCTGTTCGCCAACAACCCTACCCCCATTTACTAAAATAACAAATTCAGTTTTTCAGACAAAAATTAAAGAAAAGCAGAGTATGAAAATGATTAATTATAACATACCAAAATTTGAACCATTTTATAACTTTTTTCTTTTTCTTGTTGCCATATTGCTGACAAAGATGTATATAATCGTGTGATAATTTTAACCTACAGGACAGAGGACTTATTGGGCAAAAACCATCCAGTCCCTTACCCAAAATTATAAACATTGGTTAGTATCAAAAAAACAGAGCATTTATTAAAATGATTATACAAATCAAAACACTATTTTACAACTTCCCTCTTAACATTAGAATCCAAATGCAATTTCAGGACCACCAACCCTGCTCTGAATTGTGACCTCCTGAGCTTGAAACAAGCTGCAGATTCTCTTAATATTCCTCCAGAGTTGCGACTTGGTCACAGTGCCATCCTTACCCTAGAGGCAGGATCATTGCAGGTAACTTTTCATCCAACATGGCAGCAGCCTTCTCTGGTCTGGGTGCTGTGAGGGAAGATTAGTGAAAGCATCATTGACGATTGGTGCAGTCTCGGTAAACTCCAGGGTAGAGGTTGGAATCGTCCAAAAAATCCTTAGTCGACTACTAGTTGGTCAAAATTTCTTTTAGTCGACTATTTAGTCAACTAAATTTTTTTAATACTAGTGTGTAACCATTTGCTTCGCAAAATGGTCGTACTAGTCACAGAATAACATCCTATTTAATTAGAATATTCATTCTGTTATTATTAACGTTTTTTTTTAATTTGCAGATTACAAATTCATCTCCATTTGAATCTTTAATTTTCTCAAAATACTTCCATATGAAGCTATATGTTATAATTCGTTTTTTTAAAGGTCTGGAACCACTGCTTGAGCTTGAAGCCAACGAATTGTTGGAATGATTTGACCTTGTATCAATGTTTATTATTTCGCATGGATAATTATCGCCAACACCAGCACCAACACCACCATTATCATCTTCTTCATAATATTGATACTCCGCATATTTATTTTTATTATTTTCCATTATTTTTTAAATTTTTTTTGTACCACAAAAAACGTTTTCATTTATAATTGGCCAGACAATAATAATAATTAGTATTAGTCGACTATTAGTTGTTTAAAAAAAAAGTTAGTTGACTAAATTAGTCGACTATTTTAGTCGATTCCAACCTCTAAGTTAAACTAAAAAAAAAGTTTACCCAAGATTTGAACCTCTATTATTATTCTTTTGAACCACCGGAAATTTAGGGACAATTCTTTAAGTTATAGTTCTGATATTGTAAATGGAAAACCCAGTAGGCAACTTCCTCCTCGCCCTAAAGTTTTCCATTGCGCCACATCATTTGGAATGCATAGCTCAGAATTAACCCTTTTCTGAATAAATGATAATTTAATAATAATAACTTGCGAGAAGGATCAATGAAATTATCAAAGAAATCTCAGAGGTAAAAAGTGACAACTACCAAAACTAGAAAAATTTTATTGACTACTAATAAATTGAATTGAAATGTTTTCTTTTTCGAGTAACATCACTATTTCCAGATTTTCTAGTCCAATTATTAGTTTGACGCGTACCAGTAGTAAAATTTTGCATTACATATTAACAACATATGAGATTGCAAATACTAAATCGAAAATCGATTGTCTAATGTTTGTGCAGGGAAACATGGTGGGAGCTTTATTAACTCATGATATATTTAACCTCCAAATAATATGATTAAGCAATATAAGAGTGTCATTTTGAGTTATTTAATGTATATCATATGGTGCGGGAACTTTTAAACCACCATTTATTGCGCCTCGTGGCCAAATTTCAATGTGTCAAATTTTAAAATTTTTCAATCCATCAATGCAATAATAATAATATTTTTAACACAACATCAATTTAAAAATATTGACGTTAATGTTACTGTTACACGATTTTTTAACTCTGACCAGAATTTTTTAAAAAGGATCTGTAGATGTCATAATTACCGCCCAAATTTAAGCGGCCAAATTCCTCGCGAATATATGTACATATGTAAACTCGATAAGTCGGTCACTCGATAAGTTGGCCATATGAGCTCACCCCCACATGACCGACTTATTGAGTTTACATATGTACTAAAAAGAAATAGAACTCAACAGCCCATCAATATTTTGAAAAAAACTCTCTGTCACGTTAAAGATTAGGTCCTAATATATGTCATAACAGAGCTATTTTTTAAAAAATGATATACAGAAATGAACTTCTATTCTTTTAAAATCACATACAGAATTAGTGGTTTAAGAGGACCTGCATCATACTATCCTGATAGATAATTTTAATTAATATACAAATTCATAAATTTTTCTTAAGCTATTTTACAATATAGATGCTGGTCGCAATTCTTGGTGATGGTTGCAACCATATTTGCGACATATAAAGATGGTTTGCGACACCTGGTTGCAACCACCTTTGCGACCACTTTGGTTTCCTTTTTTGGATTGCGACATGGAACACTATTTTACAATTTATTTAAAAAAATGATAACACAGTCAAACCTTGTCACAGCGGATGAACGGACACATTAGAAAATTTTATTTTAAAATTCGTTATAGCAAGATTACTAATTATAGTCTGCTGTGGCAAGGTTACTAATTATAGTCCGCTGTGAGAATGTTTGACTGTAAAAATAGGACCCTGAAATATCATTAGATAGTAACAGGTTTGCGTATTGAAATTTGCCGAAAATTTGCAATCTACTATGTAAAAATGCCATAAAAATAAAAACAATCAATTGATATTATATTGTAAAAAAAAAGTAAATATACTGTATAAATTTAATAATTGTTATTGAACAAAAAAAATTATTTGAAGTAATTCTTACATGTAAATTTAGATAAAAGCAAACCGGGGCATATTCATTGATAAATAGCTGTCCGAAATTAGAAGTTTATTCCATATATTCCTATGGTTATTATCAAGAAGTTTGGCATAAAAGTTAGTCACAAGATTCCCAAGGAAATTCCTCTTTTTTAAAAATAATGCGATCGTGTATCCTACCGAGATTTTAATTCTAAACTAGATAGATTTTCCTTTATAGCAAATTTAAAAGGGGTTCTTAACCAATAATTTAAAGGTAGAAACAATTCACAATGGCTTTTTCTCTTCAATTATACAACAACTCGTGAATAATTTAAATGTGTTTATTTATTGTTATTAATTAATTAATTATTACAAAGTTATTATTACGTGTTTGAAATTCCTCTAATGAATTCAAGATGTTTAAATACTTCTTGACGTTGTGTTGCGCATTGGAATCGGAACGTTTTGGAAGTCACAGGCCTTTCAATAGTTTATGTGCATTGGAATTGGACTTTAAACCATTACAGCCAATAAAATTCAATAATAAAAACGAAATTTTATCGAATTTTCTGTTTTAATATAATTAACTAACGTTAAATACTTTTATTAAAAAATTTCCCATTTTGTAAAACAGTTGATTAAAAAATAATACATGATAAAAGAAGATTTATTAATTAGTATTAATTGGTTTATTTGTTTCTGTTTGACAAGAGCTACATGAACATACATACTTTACAAACAAAAAGCCACAAGTTAAATTTTGTGTTAATGTTTTGAGTGCCAAAGAATGGATGAAATTTTCAATTTAACAGATAACGAAGATGAAGAAGATAGCGTGAAAAGTAAACGACATAAAGATTGGAATTGGAAGTTCCAATCCATTTCAATGTGCATCACTGTTTTGGAGTTCACAAACATACCTTGATGACTAACAGCAAAAGTACCTACCTACCTCTTGACTAAGAACGATATTAATTTGTGTAACAACGTATTTAAAAATAAATCCATATTGTACAATAATTCTGGTAATAGCAATTAGTAATAGTAACTAATTTTGTCAATAGTTATTAATAAAGATTTTTTTGTGTAAAGTTATATATATACAAGTTTTCACTTTTTTTAGCAAATTCTTAAAATAGGTCTAATTGTTTATGTAAAACAATCAACATGTAGATCATCCTGGAATTAGCGCAATTTTAATTATGTCATTCTCCCGTTTCATATAAATTGAACCCTGATTTTTTTTTCACAAAAAAAAAAAAATTTTTTTTTAAAAAATATACATAAATTACTAAAGTTTTTATTTCTATTATTATTATTATCAATTAACTATAATCAAAGAACCAAAATGAATAAAACAAACCCAAAAATATTGATAGCATTTATAATACTCCTGATAAGTCTTATTTTCATCCTTCAGTTTGCAAGCCCGATTCAATCAACCAATATTGTTGGACATTTACAAAAAAGACAAGATAGTAATTAACATTTGTTTATTTTCTTCATTTTTATTTCTTGAACAAAAAATGATATTTATTTATCCATTTTTATGGCACCATCACCACCAAAACCATTTTTGTTTTTATTTCTTGAATCCAAAAAATAATATTTTATTTATTCATTATTTATTTTATAGCACCAGCACCCAAACCTGACAAACCTGACCCACCAAAACCTGACAAGCCTGACCCACCAAAACCTGACCCACCAAAACCTAATGATCCAAATGCACCAAAACCTAATGATCCAAATGCGCCAAATCCTAATGATCCAAATGCACCAAAACCTAATGATCCAAATGCACCAAAACCTAATGATCCAAATGCAACAAAATCTGATGGTAAGTCTTTTTTTGTTGAAAAGAAGGACATAAATATTTAAATAGAATATATTGATGGTTGTATATCTAGATAGATAGATAGTTTTTTAAAAATATAAATATGATATATATAGTTATTAGTGTTACTGCTTCTGATCTACCAGACACTAATACAGTTAGTAGTGATCCAGCAACAGATACTGTAGTAACTGGGCCTAATACACAAAATCCAACAGATACAAATACCAAAGTAAATACTTTAGTAGTAATCCTGTAATTAACACTGACATACAAATAGCTTAACTCCTACTAGCAATACAAATAGTCCTGTGATGGCCCAGTTGTTACTACAGTTGCTACTGATAATTTAAGTTCAACTAGCTCAACTGGGTTTAATTTTGATCCAAGTGCCACTGGTATATTCAAAAAGAGAATCACACACACACATATATATATATATTCAAAAGGAGATAATAATGATTATTGATGAAAATAAATTTTATTTATTAAAATTTATTAAAATATATTGATTTATGATATTTCTTTTTACTAAATAGACACCAATAAACCTACTGATCCACCACCACCACCAGGTAATTCTTTTCTACAATTTATATTTATATAACTTTTTTCTTTTCTTTTTAAATAGACACTGATAAGCCTACAGGTAATTCTTTTGTGCAATTAATTACAGAACTAATATATTTATATTATATAATTTAATTAGTTACTAGTAAAACTACTAAGAAATATCCACCTGGACAAGAACCATGTGAAAAGGCTGATGATCCAAGATGTGAACGTAAATCAACAGAGTAAGTCTTAAATTCGATATTTCTATTTTTTTTTTTAATTTTAAAAAAATTAATCAATCAATTTATTGTGAAAAAAAAAAATAGTCCAACGGTGGTCAGTACATCAGAAGAAAATGAAGTAATTACAGAACCACCAAAACCAAATAAAGCTACAACACAAACAGACCCAAACCATAAAAAATCAACCGTAACACAATTCACAACTTACACCACTACGGAAACATCATATTTCCCGGGGTACACCACTTATACCTCTTCAACAGGGACCAATGGACAATTAACAACATATGCAACTTACATTCCACCAAGTACTGTTGTGGTGGTCAAGAAAGTTACTTCAGCAACTATAGCGGAGATTCAAGAAAGTAGTCCTGTTTCAGCTGGATATCTTGATCTGGAACTCTCAGTTTATAATTTATACAGTGTTGCTACATCATTATTTGTTATTGCTGTAACAATGCTTTATTTAATTGTTGCTTAATTAATAATAGTATTAATTTATCTTTGTAAAAAAAATAGTTCATAGAATTAATAATTTTTAATTGTACATCTATTTATAGATCAAATATCACATTATATTTTTTAAAAAATTAAAATATGATTCAAGTGATCTATATCTATAAATCCGCGAATAAATCAGAGTCATACATAGTGATCAGCGGACAAAAAAAAGACCAATCGAGCACAAGTATAGGACATTCAGCATGGTATAACTCTTGCAGAACGTTGTATACCAATACTTAAATCTAATATGCTTCCCTTTACATTCCCCAAAAAAATGATTTAGAATAAAATTGTGTATGACTTAGTATGGAAAAATGTGGGCCGTACCATACCATATGCAAAAGTTATACCATACTGAATCTCTCTCTACCGATCGAGCACTTTTTCATGAAGAGTTGTACTATGCTTTTGTTCCACTATATAAATTTTTTTGCAATTACAATAAAATGTGCCTCAGAGAACATATTGTCGTTTTTTAAGTAAAAAAAAAAAAGTTTACTTTAGCAGCTGTGGATTTTTAAGAAGTCTTCATATTAATATATTTATTTTTGCCTTTAAAAACAAGAAAAATTTTTTTTTAATTATAAATTTCAATTTGATTTTGACTCAAAGACAAACGCTACTACTCATACAACAAAGCTGTTGTTTTTTTTTATACGAAAAAGAAATATTATTTTATCCAAGAATGGAAAGTATGATTTTATACCATTAATGTCATTATTGGGAGAATGATATTACTTACTATTACTATTACTATTACATGGCGAAATCGAAATTCGAAAGATAAATTTTTTTGCTTATAGTTTATTCATATCTTTAAATAATAATAATCCTAGAACCAAAATCTTCAAAGAAACCTGGAACATACATGATGGCCGGAACTTTCGAAATCAAGGGATTAATCTGATTTGAAATTCTAATAGTAATTTAAAATTCCAAAATAAAAATCATTCGATTTCTTTTGATTTTGATTATTATTAGATAAACTTCTCGTTCCAAGGACATTTAAAGAATTGGAAGTTGTCAAAGAACCTGTTTCATCCAAAAAATCATCATGTAAGGTAAAATTGTTTTATTTCAATAGGTTGATTTGGACATCTATTCGTTAAATGTTATTTGCATCAAATCTGGACTTCCTTTTGTTCCATTATCATTACAATATATACAAGTGGAATCTTATTTTCCAGAATATATTTAATAAAATGCGTCCAAACATTGTCAGGTCTTTCAGCACTCTTAGAATAAAGACTTTGAGAATCAGAATCGCTTGAGATAATTCAAAAGAAACTTGAATCAGGATTTCGATTTCGATTTCCTGAATGATATTCACCGATTATTTCATCGATTATGTGGTATTGATTGACTGAGTACTCAAACATCAGGACCACCATCGATTTCAATTTCGAATTTTGAAAATTTTAATTGGTTGAAATCGAAATCGGAATAAACCTATTTCGCCATCATAATAAATAAATTTTTTGAGCATGTATATATATTAATACTATTTTATCATCCGTGATTCAATCATCCTTCTTATTGCATTTGTTAATACGATGCAAACTGGCAGACTTCAACAAAGCGGACATTATGTCACAAAGATCAATGTAATATAAGAGTCTGCAACCAATTGGAGAATTTCAAATCAATTGCAGACATCAACTTTAATTATGATCCCAGCAATAGAATGTTTTTTTATTTAATCTACTTTCCTTTTTGAGACGCTTGCTCATACTCATTGATCCACCATCCATTGTTACTAACTGAGCCATTAAAAAAATATCTTGCTCTAGAGAGAAAAGATTCACGTAATTCAGCAAACTTTTGGAAGTTTAGTTGAGCAGCTGCAAGCACAACCTGATTTATTGCCTTTTCATATTTATTCATATACATGTAACCTAGTGATGGTGGCCGAAATTAACCCATAGTTTAAGCATTTAGGCCATTTTGTTTAGGCCTAATTTTGCCCATGAAAGTTTTTTGGTGGAATTAGCGAGATTCCTAAGCTGTAGTGGTAGACGAAATCCAAGCGGAAAATTATTTGGTTTCCGACCAAAAAAAAGATTTTTTTTGAAAAAAATTGTTTATTACAAACGAATTATTCGTAAAGAAATAATTTTATACCAACTTTCCTGCATCTACTCTCAAGCAAGACTCAGAGTTATAATATAGAAATATTTAATTACTGATTAATTAATTGATTGATTGATAAAAAGTTCACTTGTCAAAAGTGACATTATTTTATAATAATAATAAAAATAAAATAAGAGACCGGAACACATGCCCGACATACGATTGGACGGCACTTCGATAAACGTAGGTTTGACAAATTAACAAATTGGCCAGTTTAAAAGTTTTGCCGCCAAATTTAAACCAACCACACCAAGTATTACTTTTCACTTTACTGTCAATCCTCGTGAAAACTACAATGAAAATGACCCTTATATTACATCAGTTGTCCATGCAAATCTTTGTACTAATATATATTTCAACCTCCCTCCTTTGGAAAAAATGGAATTTAATACCCCATCCTTAAAAAATTCTAAAGAATTTTTTGATGCCTGGTTTGAATCAAAATTTTACCGATACTACAAAGTTCATCATCCATCAACACAAAAAGAAAAAGTACTTGGATTCCTCCGTAGCAAAATATATGAAGAATTCCATAGAAGATACTTTGAAATAGTTACATCACCTCCTTCTTGGGATAGATATACAATAAATTCCCTTAAAACTAGACAATATGCAGTTCGTCAAATGGCAAATTGGGATATCAAATATTATAAATCAGGTGAAGGATTTGAAACACTCTGTGACAAATACTGGAAACAATCATTTGAAAAATTTCCCATCCCTAAAACTTGCACACACTGTGGTGTAGATTCAAGCTCAGAAAAAAATAAGCACAAGACAACATGCCCAATATTTCAATCCACATTAACTCTCCCTACAATTGATCTTTCAAGCATTGATACTAATATTTCAGAACCTTTTCCAACTGCCAAATTACATGAAGCAGTTAATTTAGCAGTTGAAAGAATTGATTTCAATTTGTACTCTTCTCACAACAAACAAAAAATAACAGGCTTTCTATTTCATGTCAATAAACAAATTCTTATTAATCTTATCATAAAAGATTTTATACCAAGTTTTGACAAAAGCAATCAAGATCAAGATCACAGACAAATACTTGATGATCATCTTAAATCACTTGAAACTCCTCCACCATGTTCAGCTGTTTTCAATTATTGTCAAGCAACATTTGGTACAGAATATGCAATAACTCACACAGATGATATTATACTTCAAACTTTTGCACCAACATTTGATTCACTCTTAGAATCATATGATCCTTTTCAGGTTGTTACTTCCATGGAAGCTACAAAATGAAATGTTTCAACAAATTTTTAGCATTTTACTCTCATAAACTCATAAATCACCCACAAACCATTAATTCATTCATTAGATATTTAAAAAACAATCACCCTAATATAGATACCACTTCCATAAAATTCTCAGTCAACTCAACATATAGTGAAACACATATTCTACTTCCAGATGAACATCCCATCTTAACACATAAATACATTAACATACAATCTTGTCCATCAAATTTTTTACAACTCCCACTACTCTCAACTACCATAGGAAATTTTGCAACAATAAATGCTAGAGGATTAAACACAATTACCAAACAAAATGCCATTAACTCATTAATTAGTCACTACTCAATAGATGTTTTAGGTATATCGGAGACTAGATTGCCTCCTAAATCAGCAAAATATTGTTACCCATTTCCCAAAGATTATCATGGATGGTGGGACTGTGATCCTGATCATCCCAACAGTGCAGGTGTTGGCTTAATACTTTCACCTTTCCTAACAAAACATGTCCAAAAAATCACATCATCAAAAGGAAGATACATACAGTACCTGGACAAAAGTATTGGACCCCCTAAATATATTAATTACGCAAAAACGTACATAATAAGTATACAGAAAATTTATGTCAGTTTATAGCTTAGGTTTCGAAGATTATGTATATAGAATCTTATGTTACCAAATTTTCTAGAACTCGTGCAATTAAAAATAAAAGAAATACGATCATTTTTGGAAAAAAAATCCCGGCGAAGAAATTTTTTGACAATTTTTCTAAAAACTATATAAATAACATGGTTTGAAATTTTTATATATGATAATCTAAGATCTTCTGATTCTCAAGATAAAATTTTTTTTATATTTTTTTGTTTAAAAATTTTTTTGACGAATTTTTGAAAACTTTGATAATTTTAAAAAATTAAAAATTTTGATAAAATGTCAGATTAACTGAAAATGAACGTGGTCAGATAATCAGCCTTTATAAAAGTGGCACAACAAAAGTAAAAATCAGTAAAATTCTTGGTTTTCCTAAGACTACAGTAATAAGGACGATCCAGAATTTTCAAGAGAGAGATGATGTCAAAACATTACCTAGGAGTGGACGTCCTAAAATTTTAGATAGTGTTCATCAGGAAGAATTGAAAAAAATCATTAAA